CCATTTGATTGGCAGGGACATTACATTGGGGCCTTTGACTCACTGGTGACACAGCTATCAGTGGGTTCTGTTGTAGACGGTAATTGATCATATTTCACTCTCAAATGAAAGTCAAGACTGATAACAAATCTAGGTATAAAATTTCTGGCTAACAAGAAGCCAAGAAAAGGACACAGGTAAACTAGTTTCCAAGGACTGAAGTAAAGAGCATAAGGGATCCTGCTGTGTCCCAGGCTTAAAGAATTCTTGAGTTTTCATCGGTGCTCTGTCAGTTAGCATTATGTGCTGTGCTGGCTTTTCCTTGTTATCTTGCCCAGAGGATTGCTCCTTACCCTACATAGGTCAGGAGATTAATGATGGTGATGTGTCTGACATTTTCCAGGCAAGGAGGAAGACTTCCCCATCTTCCACTTTGACCCAGATCATGTAACTGAGCTTGGGCATACTTTTCCCATGACTTTGTACAGTATGTATTTTGGAAACTGAGGACCTCCCTAGCTGGTTCAGGCCCCAGAGGTCCTACAAACACTAGTCTCCATTCTATCTGATCTCCAGGACATGAAACAGAGAAGCATCCACACACCTCACTCTGTCTGCAAGTATCTGCTGCCAGGATCCATACTCCTCCATCTGGAAGGAGGGAGCAGGAAGTGAGCCTGGAGGAAGTGAGTTTTGAAGGATGGATGGGATTTCTGTATGTCATCACTTAGGCTGTGGGGCAAAGGGTTCAAAATGTGAGGGCCTCATTTTGCATCCAAAGCAAGCAGAGAGGGTGACCCTACCTTTCTGCTTCAAAGTATCAGGAAGGGAATGAGGGATCCTTTCATGCAATACTGGGTAGGGATTGAGAGCCATGTCTAGTATCCCTACTTCCTTACTAGAGTCCCAGCTCTGTGACTTGAGACAAGTATATTGGTGTCTCTAGAACTCAGTTTTCTCACATGGGAACTGAGGACAAGAACAATTACCACCTATTGACTGTTTAGCATGTGCTAAGCCCAGTTCAGAATCTTTACTCATATTTATTCATTTAATATTCATAACGACCCCATGAAGTACACAGCTACTATCCTCATTTTACAAACACAAAAACTGAATCAACGGCTGAGAAATGAAAGAAGCTGCATTCAAACCCAGACAAGCTGGCTCCGTTATCCATGTGCTCAGCCACTCAGTAAAGTGGTGCACAATGGCACTGTCTTCACAGGGTTGTTATGAGAATTAAATGTTGAGAGGATAGAGGAAGCAGGGCCTGCCACCTGACAGGTGCACAGCAAATGTGAGCTATGACGATTACTCTTGTTCCTCCATCATCTAGGGCAATAATGAGGACCACAAAGTGAAGAGGGTGAGATTGGACATGGAACAGAAGAAAGGGTGAGGTAGATTGCAGATGACTTGGCTGTCTCTCCTCAGCAATCAGAAATCCCCCTCCTCAAGCAGCAGGGATGACATATATATGAGAGAATAAAGGTAACTCAACAAAAATACAATCGACTACTGTTTAACAGTATTCAATAATAGGGGACAAAATATTCATACCGTCAGTTACATGATGGCTGCTCTCAGACTGACATGAAAAACACATGAGGACAAAAGTAAAGACATAGCTTTTAGTGCTGTGAGAATGGGGGTAAAACCATAACCAGATACCAGGAACAGCACGAAGTCCACTGCTCAGGCCAAAGGGACAAGAGGAGGTAATACAGATATATATATATATCTTAGTCACTTTTCTTGTTGCTGAGACAAAATACCCAACACCCAAAGTTAGAGGAGGAAAAGTTTATTTGGCTTAGAGTTCATAGAGGTTTCAGTCCATAGTTCAATGTCTCCAAGGCAGGGTGGCATGGCAGAGGATGTCACAGGATAAACAGTCCATGACAAAGCAGTCTGGGGCAGGCAGAAAATAGCAAGCAGCAAGCAGCAAGCAAGCAACAAGCAACAACCCTAGGCCTTTTTCTGTCCCTTATATTTTATCCAGGCTACCCATCTTTAGGGCAAGTAGCATTCACACTCAGGGTGGGGCACCCCTAGCCCTACCCAGAACTATGCCAAACCAATCAGTTAACTAATCTTGTAATTGCACACCCCTTGATCCCAACACCACACACTTAATCCCAGTATCACACAATGTAGGTCTGAAAAGCCCCACCTATGACTGCATGAGGCTTTGGGGGTACATCTAGACACAAGCCACACAATTTATTATATATATATATTTACAACCTATTGAGTCTTGTAGCATTTTCATACATGCATATAACATATTTTGAGCCTACTCATTTCTTTTACCCCCCTTTATACCTTCCCGCCCTTTATACCTTCCTGCCCTTTGATCTCTCTTGGGTTATAGTCTCCCTTCTATTTTCATGTCATTTTTCTTTTTTTCCCTAGATTCCACATATTAGGGAAAACATAGGGTATTTGTCTTTTTGAGTCTGGCTTATTTTGCTTAACATGATGATTTCTAGTTCCATTCATTTCCTTACAAATGACGTGATTTCCTTCTTTATATAAGCCATGTCTTTTCACTTTTTTCATGTGGCATTTGTATGATCCTGGTCCTTGCCAGCACTGTGGCTGACGCCTCTACCTGTATAGGGATCGCTTTACTCGTGAGGCCCAGAGGCAGAGTTGTATCATTTCTATTCATTATCATCACAAAAGTTAATCTGATTGAAAATGCTGAGTGGTACATTTTAAATATTTATTGGCCTTAAAATTAGAAGTGATTGATGAGCATGAAGAAGAAAACAAGTACCACATATATTTTCAGCACAGAGCCAATCACCATTTTACCATGTGCATTTTTTCTTTATCACCAAGGAATCACACTGCATCTACTATTGTTTCCTGGCTCAAATATATCATGAACAATTTCCTTCATCAGTAAATGTGTTTTAACATCAATGAATTTATTTCTAATACCTTTAAATTAAGATTCTTACTGACTGCCCAGTATTTTGTCTCAGCCCATACCATGGCCAGTTCTCTATGAAGGAATACTCAGCTTCCAGCTTTTCCTTGTCATAAACACTGCTGCAATAAACATCCTTGTATAGTATAAAATACTTGAAAACACAGCCAATCAACTCAGTATTTCTAAAGCAAAAGCCACATGGCAGCAGCAGCAGGAGCAGCAGCAGCAAAGTCACGCCTCTGGAGAGATAATAACAGTTACCTTCCCTGTCTCCTACTGAAGTTGTGAAGCTCAACTAAGAAAATGTATATGGAAGTTCTTTATAAACTGTAAAGTGTGTAAGGGTGTTTATTCAAATATGATCTTATTCTTTTGCAACAATCCCATAAGGCAAATACAGGGGAAATATCCCCAATGTTCATTGTACTGACAATTTTGCCAGACTTAAGAAGTAAAGTTTTACTTTCAGGCTATTATATACTCATTTCTCTTTAGCACAACAAAGAATTGTGTGTTAGAAAAGCAGCCTTCCTGTACAAGAATAAACTACCAGCTGGCACCACATCCTATGTTTGGTGCAAGTTAACTCCTTATGCCCCTTCTAGAGGAGGATGGCCAACAACTGGATGAAATTGAGCACCTTGAAAGGTCCATGTGACTGAATCCCCTCACTACCAATGTTGGTGACTCCATCTTCAACAGTTGATTAGTTCTAATGACTACTTTCTGTTCCTTTCCTGATAGTCTCTTCTAAAAGGCTCTTTAGATAACATTGCTTGATTAAAAACAATGGTCCACACCTGTAATCACAGCACTTGGGAGGCTGAGGCAGGAGGATTACTGTGAGTTCAAGGCCAGCCTGAATGTAGTGAGAACTTGCCTCAAAAAAACAAAAACAAAAAACCCCAAAACAAAAAAACAAAACAAGCAAACAAACAAAAAACAATGAAGCAGTAGTTTAGTTGTTTTTTTTTAAGTGAGAACTTTCATGTCAAGTATAGAAGCTACAGTGACATTTCACAGGAAACCCACCCCATCACTCAGGAGGTGCTCCATTTGGGTGAATTCTTCATTCACCTTCTAAGAATCTAAGTTCATGAATTTTCACTGTTCTTGCTAAGGCAACAGTATTAACATGTCAATAAATAGCTTCCTAGAGCAAGAGTCTTATAGAATTCACAATTCCTATGAAAGGCAACAGACAAACCTGATTTGAATCATACTTAATGCTACTTGTTAACAACTATGAAAAGTCTTCTATGTATTAAAGTGGTTGCTTCGACCAAGGTAAATGATACTTTGGAGCCAGAAAGTCTATATGGTTACAGTTTGGTTTTTCCTCAAAAATTAAAAAAAGGGGACATGACCCTACTTTAAAATGTTGAAAAGGATTTTTACTTTAAATCTCCATGAGTTAAAAAAGGCACAAATCCTCCTTTTGAGCTCTTTCTCAACCACTTGATTATTTTTATCTCTTCTATGCAGAATAGAAAGGGGAAGCAGGGCATGCACGGTGTTTATGTGCCAGATGTAACTTGCCTTCCCGGCAGAAGGGGCCAGGGCTTGTTTTCTGTGTAAGGCAAGGAAGCACCTGCTACATAGTGAGACCAGCCTGATCCAGGAGCATTGGCCAGGAAAGGTGTTCAGGCCTTGCAGAGAGATACTGAAATTGCTCTTGCTTCCTTCCTTCCTAATTTTATCTTGTAGAAGTTCGACTGTTTCCATGGGTTCATTCATTTCCACCACCACAACTACCCCCATTTTTTACAATTGTGTATTCAACCAAAGAAAATGAGTAAGAAAAACAATTATGATAGTGGGGGGAGAAAAGATTCAAAACTGCCATATGTGAGGCCCATGGGAGTCCCTGATTAATTTTCATTTTCATAGTTTAGTTCTGAGATTGACCTGTTTTAGTAAATGTGTGAATAAGTATAGTCATGAACTAGATTTCCTTGTAGCTTTAGAAATATGAAGCCGCTCCAGTCTCTTTCTTACCATGATGGGTTCCTAGAAGGCTAGGAGAGTGAGTCCATGAGCCAATGAAACTATGTTCCAACAATCAGCCATGGACTTATCACACAGTAATTCCCAAATTGGGAATTTTGATAGATTTGACAAAACAGTCAATTAAGCTGGTTGTAGGCAAAATTTCCCATTTTTATGCTTGTCTGTCTTGTCCTTTCATGGATATATATTCTCCTACACATTTTAGATGCTTGAGATTCTGTTTTGGGGTGGTTTTTTTTTTTTGGTTCCGGGGATCAAACTTGGGATCTTATGCTTTCAAAGCAGGTGCTGGAACCACTGAACTAAATCCCCAGCCTGAGATTCTGATTCTGAAAAAATATATTTAACTAATAAATAGTTATAAGGAGTAAGTAGGCTAGTCAATGGATTTAGTTGAAAAAAAGCACCAGCATGATAATTATATGAAAATGCTTGTAAAAATTCAGAATTGGAGAAAATCACAATGTTGGGAAAGATTATGAAAGGTTACATATTTGAGCAGAAAGGACTGAGCCTTAGGCTAGTAGGAAGGTTGGGTGGGACTCTGCAAGAAGGACAGGCAGTGGAAAGACGTGGCATTTGTGGAATAGAAGTTGACACAGGTAAGGAGGTATAGTTGAATAGGTGTGTTAAGAAGGCAGTGAGTCTGACTACAAAAGTGTTTTCTTGGAGGGGCAATGGTACCTAATGAAGCCACGTTAAAAACTATTTAGTCTGATGAAGGAAAAACAGAGAATTTGGTTTTCCACAGGCACAAGATATTACTGAAATCTTTGGCCAAGAGACTGGCATGAGGAAAGATTTCTTTAAAGACAGTTAATGTAATATTAATGACCAAAATGGGTGTCAGGAGGCTCCTGTCTAGTTCAACAAGGAGGCCATGAGGCCAGGAGATGGTGTTGGCTATGGTGATGGAGAAGGTGGGAGTGGATGACCACTGGCAAGGAGACTGGGTGGAACTATGGAGGCTGCTGAGGTCCCCTCAGGAGACACCTAACAGATAAAGCCTTACCTCTTTTCCAAAGAATTTGCCCCATTTTACTCCCCTATTTACTCCCTTTAACAATCTGATAAACTTGCTGTGCTAAGATATTAAGGGTAGATTATAACTAAAAGTAGGTGTAAGATAACACAAATTCACACAGTGTTGAGAAATTGTAAGCAGTGGGCACATTATGAGAAATAGCTTCTCATAGAACACCTTCAAAATGTATCTAGGAATATTGTAAGAAACAAATTGGCTCTTCAGAGGTTTAGGGGCAGAGTTGCACAGAAAGCCATTTACTCCAAATTTTTCTTCAGGTTGTAGCATTTGGGTTGTGGTTGACCGCTATGGCACCAAAAGAAAGCAAGTTAGTTTACATTAAGTATCATTTTTCTGCTTTCCAAATTACCTAGATTGCCCAGGGTCATGGCTTTCCCCACATCTGGACTCCAGGAATGAGTCACTTAAACACCCTCAAGCAGAAGTTTCTATTCTCTGCAGTTGCTATCTGCAGTGACTCTCTGCCTCTTAAACAAATCAGGCAAGAAAACTAGAGTAGCTAAAGCAATTATGTGAATATCTACAGTCCTAGGGTCTCCAAGAATTCAGGCCCTGCCAAAATGACCTCAGATGTTTGCGAAGGAGAAGAACCTTGCTTCTAAGAATGTTCTCTCCAGCTTCCATGCTTCCTCCATGACAGGCATCAGTAGTGTGACAATTAGGTATGGTGGGTGGGCTTTTCTGTGGGCTGGCAGCCTATTTTAACTTCCAACTGTGGGAGTGAGCTTTAATTCTGTGCTAAAATTAGGGGAATCCAGCAACTCCTGTGGTTATTTCAATCAGTTCCCACTTATTGAGTAGCAGCAGCAGAGTTAAGTAATAACACGGTAAACTTGCCAAGACATAAATGAAATGCAGAGTGTTGCCCAGTTGGATCTGAAGTTGTTTCAATGATCTAAGTGGAAAGCCAAACCAACAAAAGGCTGCTGGCACCTCTAGGGGCAAGAAAACCAGGGACATGGGCAGAATCCCTAGCACTGCTTCAGTGATGCTGGAGAAAATGTAAGGGAGCAGGAACTGATTGGCCTGGCAATCCACATTTCACTAAAAAGATGCCAAGAGCCCAGTGGCTGGGAAAGCTTGGTTTGATCTCGCCTCTCAGAGAAGGCACACTGGCTCTGCCAGAGGATCCCACCACCAGAGCCAGGGCCTCCAATGAGAACTTGGCCCCTGGTGCTTGAGCTCACAGCACAGTAACGAATGAAATAATGATCTAGATAAGCAGCTTTCATGGACACACCATGAAGAACATTGTTCTGAGGGGCTCTACACTGGGAAGATTTTGTCCAGCTGAGAGAGTTAGGGGCAGGGATGCCAGCTCCCAGTTCAGACAAGGCAGCTGAGGTAAGAAGAGAAAGGAAGAGGAGGAAGGCAGAGCCAGAACCCTCTAAGAACAATTCTTTAAGGATGCTTAGCAGACCTAATTCATCCCCATTGGGTTGCTGTTAGGGGAAAAGGAGGATAAGGAACAGGGAGACCTGTGGTGACGAAGTTCATTGGTGACTACAGATTGATCACTGACATTTTTGGAGTATCAAAGCTTCTTCAATCTTCCAGCTGCCCATTTCCCCTGGGTGGTTAAGATGACCCAAGTTCAAGTTTATCCCACACTCAAGGGGCAGGGCTTACACACAGGCAGGAACACCAGGAGGCAGGGGCCTTGGTGACCATTGTGAGTCTATCTGCCACACACACCATTATCATTTTGCCTGCCTGAGTGTCAGAATCAGTAGTGTGGCACTACTTGCTCACAGTACTTGTCAGCTTTGGTTGCACTTACCTAGGAGCTTTTATAAAATACTGATACTGGACCCCATCCTGGAGATCCTAATTTAATTGGTCTTAGGCAGGGTGGAAATGTCAATATTTTAAAATCTCTCCCATGTGATTCCAATAAGCAGCAGGACTGGCAGATACTGATTGAGTTTTTCCAGCAAAGGTCAGGGAAGGGAGGAGCCTGCAGCTTTCACTGAAAGAAAGCAGGGCACAAGCTCTGGGATTCCAATTGAGAGACAGGAGACAAAGATCTCAGACAGGCACCCTCCCCCAGTGAGGGTGAACTCACTCCACACCATCAGGACAAGGAGTGCTGCCTTGACCTTGGAATCCTTCTACCCCATCCAGACATGGGCCAGGCAGCTCACAGAGAGATGTAGCTGATGGCTCCAGGTTTACCTATATGGCCAATTTTATTGATCTATTCTTATGCTCATACAGTACTTTGAGTTTTACTAGAAAGGGATAAAGAGCTGGGGATTTAGCTCAGTGGTTCTGCTGCCCGCCCAAAAGTGCAAGGACCTGAGTTCAATCCCCACTACAAAAAAAAAAGGGGGGGAGGGATAAAGAAAATTTTACATAATGTCAAAAAAAAAAATCTGAGCACCAGCTATATTACTGGATGGAAGTTTTGATCTTATTACACTGTTAGAAAAGAGGAAGCCTAGTTAAGTCTAAGAACAGGTCTCAGCAGTTCTGAGCTGTCTCCTTTTTCTGTACCTGGAAACTCACCTGTCCTTCATCCCATTTCCTCTGCACTGTGGCACCTTGCATGTTCTAACAGTACTAGGACAATAACAGCCTCAGTGTTACTCAGAGTTCGGTCTTAACAATTACCTTCATTGCTTTATTCTGAACTTGGGCCTATACAGTAGCTTATGCACCATGAATGAATGTTTCCATTCAACAAATATGTATTAAAAGCCTACCCAGTGCCAGGCCAGGTGAGGTTGCAGAGTATTTATAGTGGGTCAAAGGCACCCACAGTTCCCTCTTAATGGGAGCCTTAACCAAATAATCATGTCAACACATACCCAGTCACAACTGTGATGGAGATTTCAGAGCCTATCATGGGACCTGGCCTTGTCTGAGCTGCAGGGAGCCTTCTCCTGAAGAAGCCAGACTTGAGCAGAGATGGGAAAGCTGAGAAAGTGTCCACTATTGGGGGGAGGGGGGGAATAAAAACGTGCTCCAGGCAGAGGCCTTAGACAGGGTGGGAGTGCACTACAGGAGGACTGAGAAAAGAGCTGTATGCTGAGGCCTGGAGTGGGGGCAAGTGGCTGAAGAAAGGTAGGGGCCCTGTGGACATGGTTTAGGACCCTAAGAACAATTGAAAGCCATCTGAATGTCTTCACCAGTTGGAGAGAATTTAAAGGTGTCAGGAATAGCCTCCAAAAATAGTACCCTTCCACCTGAGATGAATACCATTCCTGTGTTTGGGCTGTAAAACATGGAAAGCTCATTTTAGAGACTAGGAAATCATTTCTAGATATCCCAAGGCTTCTAGCATTTATTCATTTACCTCTTCATTCTGCAGCTTTCTTGGGCACCCACCATGGGCTGCACACTCTCTCTTGGTCAGCACCCCTAGGAAGCTTGCATGCAGGCGAGAGAAGCAGGAAAGGAGCAACAGTCGGGTGCTCTCAGAGACCCAACATTCCCAGTGCCTCCCTGCCCCAGCCAACTTCAAACTGACATCAGTATGAACGACACTGAGATGCATGAAAACAGACAGAGTGGACGAAGCAAAGTCCCTGCTCTCACCAGGCTGGCAGCCCAGAAGGGAGAGATAGGTAACACATAACCCGGTACATATAAACACTGTGAAAATATAACAGGTAAGAGGGATACAAAATGAAGGAAGTGCCTACTATTTTATATATGAGGAAGGTATTTGACTTAGTGACATCTGAGCAGAGAGCATGCTAGGAATTTATATGAAGGAACACCATTCCAGGAAGAGAGTCTGACAAGTGCAAAGGCTCGGAGTAGAAGCATGCATGGAGTACCCTACGCTCTTGAGGAAGTCAGTGTAACTGGAGGGGAGATTACTCAGGGTTCCTGGAAGAGAGTAGTAGAGGTCTATGATGTCAGTGAAGAACCAGGACATGGATCATGGTGCCTGTATGTGATGGTAAGGAGTTTGGACCCCATGTTGCAATGAGAAGCCAATGTCTGTAACAAAGCCATACATAAGATGGTTAAATGGTAAGAGGAAACAAATCTGGTTAAGGGGCTAAAGAGAAACTGGAAAGCTGAAGAAGCTGTTTAAAATAAGTAGTCAGAGAATTCTCTCTGAAGAAGTGACCTTAGGTTGAGTTTTGAACCATCTAAAGCAGGAACCAAGAGATTTCTGGGAAAAGCTAGTTCCAGGCAGAGAAAACAGCTCTGA